TTAATGAAAAAATACTTTATTATAGTGTTTTGGAAAGCTCTTGAGATAAGCTACAAGAATTTGCAATAAACATAAGAGGGTTCCATTTAAAAAGATGAAGATGACCTTCAAATCTCCTAAGCGCCTCTACCTTTAAAAAAATGTTCACTTCCACAAGATTTCTCCCTCGATACCATACAACTTTTATTTCAAACATTTTCCTTCAAACGTTGATCCTGAAAAGTTATGAGGGTGGAACTTTTAAAATGGGACACCCTGTATATATATTTATTAATATAAACTATTTATTAATACAACATATTTTATTTTGTATACAACATATTCTATTTTGTTTGCAGAAACAATGTCCAACCATCGTGTTGCATCAAACATTGTGCTAGTCGCATATATTATAGTAACACAAAAGGAATAACATTTTTTAGATTTCCAAAAGAAGCCATTATTTGGTAGCAATGGCTTAATGCTTGTAACATTAATGAAACAGAAATAAAAGTTGATTCAGGTAAGTTGATATAATTTATACATTCGTTACTTTGCGCATATAGAATACATATTGAAATAAGGGTAATTATTCAGAATCACGGCTCCACCTGCAACTGGGCTGCAAATTTTTTTACGGACTTTTTATGTTTAGAAAGAAATATAAATAACCATTTTTATTTGGGAGAGGCCCAGAAAAAAAGTTATAGACCTTAAAAGGGCAATTATGGTAATTATTTCGAATAAGGTTATTTCTGAATTTTGACAAATATGATCGGATCTCTCGGTAAAACTCTTTGTTGTGACTTCAACAGTGATAATCAGTTGGGGGAGCACGTCCCCCATCATCCCCACCCCCCCAAGAAAACGAAAAACCCCAAAAATTACCAAAGCAAAGCGAGGTTCACCCTACAAGCCAAATCAAATTTTAGTTTTAAATAGGAAATAGGTTTGGGTTAGGTTATATCTTCCGGAAATGGATCCCCCCCGTAGGGGGGGGGGCGGAACCCCCGTGTCCACGGATATAGTTTACAAAGCAAAGCGAGGTCCATCCCACAATTGTTGTTTGGATGGGAAAGTGTATGCGTGGACGCAGTGGGTTCCGCCCCCCTTATGGGGGGGCTCCACTTCCGGAAGATATAACCTAACCGAAACCTATTTCTGATTTAAAACTAAAATTTGGGTTGGGTTGTGGGGTGAACTTTATAGTACATAATTACCTAATTTTCGGTAATTTTGGGGGTTTTTCGTTTTTTGGGGGGTGGAGGTGATGGGGAACGGGCTCCGCCGACTGATTATCACCGTTGGAGTCACAACAAAAAGTTTTACCGAGAGATCCGATCATATTTGTCAAAATTCAGAAAAGACTTTATTCGAAATAATTACCCTTTTTTGGTCTATAACTTTTTTTTGAGCCTCCCCTAACTAAAAATGGTTATTTATATTTCTTTCTAAACATAAAAAGTCCGTAAAAAAATTTGCAGCCCATTTGCAGGTGGAGCCGTGATTCTGAATAATTACCGAAATAAGTATAATATATTATGATATAATTTTAGCAAGGATATGTTTTAATCATTTTGACGAAAATTGCTTCGAAATGAAATTGACGAAACCAAAATTTAAAAAATACACCAATAAAAGAATTGCGACGATTAAAAAAGGATTCTATTCCATCAAAACTGTTAGTTCTAGAAAGAAAAAGAAAAGAAATGTCACAAAATGAAGAAAATATTAAAATGAACAAAAGAAGTAAAATACCGTAAATATTTTCTAAATTTTTAAATATTTGCTATTTTTACATATGTATATGTGTGTGTGGGAGTGTGTGTGTGTACGCGCGTGCACGCATAAATAACAAAAAAATAAACCTTTTGATAACTCTGTCAGAATAAGAACCGGTATACCTACATACGTGGAACTTGTTCAATATGCACAGGAAAGAGAAAGAGAAGAAGAAGCTGTGCAAAATATAGACGATAATGTAAATATTAATATACAAGAAGAAGCTGAGCAAAATATAGAGGATGATGTAAATATTAATATACAAGGAGAAGCTGAGCAAAATATAAAGGATGATGTAAGTATTAGTATATAAGGAGAAGCTGAGCAAAATATAGAGGATGATCTAAATATTAATATACAAGGAGAAGCTGAGCAAAATATAGAGGATGATGTAAATATTAATATACAAGGAGAAGCTGAGCAAAATATAAAGGATGATGTAAGTATTAGTATATAAGGAGAAGCTGAGCAAAATATAGAGGATGATGTAAATATTAATATACAAGGAGAAGCTGAACAAAATATAGAGGATGATGTAAATATTAGTATACAAAGAGAAGATGATATAAATATTAGCATATAAGGAGAAGCTGTGCAAAATATGTATGTATATACAGGGTGTCCTATTTTAAAAGTTCCACCCTCATAACTTTTCAGGATCAACGTTTGAAGGAAAACGACTCGGATAAAAGTTGTAGGGAATAAAGGGGGCTATCTAATAGTGACCTTGGATTTGACATTAAAGGTAATTTTCAAAGTTATTTGAAGGTCAACTTCTGTTTTTTAAATAGAAACCCCTATTTCTCATTATATATTCTTGTAGCTTACCTCGAGAGCTTTTCAAAACACTATAATAAAGTAATTTTTCATTAAGTACTTTTTGAGTTATTTTATATTTTAATCTGACATATTTTGATATAAAAAATAATTTTCTTAAAAACAATTATTTTTTTTTACTAATTGATTTGTTTCATTATTCTGTACATAAAAGTATTACGGTAAGATTATCGAGAACTAAATATTTTACGAGATATTTTATTTTTTTATATCAAAATATCAGATTAAAATATAAAATAACTCAAAAAGTACTTAATGAAAAAATACTTTATTATAGTGTTTTGGAAAGCTCTCGAGGTAACAAGAATATGTAATGAGAAATAGGGAGTTCCATTTAAAAAAATAAAAATGACCTTCAAATGACCTTGAAAATGACCTTTAATGTCAAATCCAAGGTCACTATTAGATAGCCTCCTTTGTTCCCTACAACTTTTATTCGATTTGTTTTCCTTCAAACGTTGATCCTGAAAAGTTATGAGGGTGGAACTTTTAAAATGGGACACCCTGTATAGCTAAATTTTCTTTTAAAAGTACGATTTATAAGCTTTTTCAATCATATTTTATTTGTTTATATGTACATTCAGTATACAAATGTTTTGTGTTTTATAGAAACAAAGAGGCTGACAATAATCAGAATGTTTTAATGGAAACATTATTGACGCAATTAAAAAAATCAGAGGGAAAAAATCGAAAATTATTAGAAGAAAAAGCAGAAATTGAACAGAAAAATGAGCAGTTAAATATCCAAGTAACACAGTTGCGAGCAAAATTAACAAAGGTGTTAACAAATAGGCAAAAAGAAGCCGAAGCAATTGCCGTCAATGCTTTGCAAAAAGTATTTACACCTGGGCAAATTACAATGTTAATGTCATCGACAAACAAACGTGTTAAATGGTCGCCCGAAGATATTATGTCTGCCATTTCTCTGCGATCAATAAGTCCCAAAGCTTATAAATATTTAAGAAATGTGAAGAAGATGCCATTACCTTGTCTATCAACTCTACAAAATTGGATAGCTCAATTTAATGTTTTACCTGGTATTTTGAAAGACGTAATCAACATAATGTCGATTAAAGGATGTAATCTTTCAACATCAGAAAAATTAACTGTTCTTACATTTGATGATATATACGTTTCTAATAAGTTGGATATAGAACAAAAACAACAAAAAGTTTACGGATCTCATACAACCTGCCAATTTATTATGGCTCGAGGCTTGTTTAAAAATTGGAAGCAGCCTGTTTATTACCATTTTGATACGGCAATGTCCCGCGATATTTTATTTACTGTCATACAGCATCTATATGAGATTAATTATATTGTTGTTGCTGTAACGTGCGATATGGGTCCAATCAATATGAAATTGTGGAAAGAATTACATGTCGGAATTAATGTTTCTGGTCATTCCAAAGATAAAAAAATTACAACAGACATCGAAAAAAAATGTTTTGTTATGCATCCTGCAAACGGTTTGCTACAAATATTTTTCTATGCAGATGTTTCTCATTTATTGAAACTGGCAAAAAACAATTTATTGGACTCTGCATTTCAAATTAAAGGAATCTCTGTTGATAAAATATGTTTGGAAGAATTATTAACATTAAATGAAGGAGATTTAAAAATATCTCATAAATTAAGTAGAGCACATCTTGACCTGAAAGGGACGAAACGACAAAACGTTAAGATGGCAGCCCAAATTTTTTCAAATAAAAATGCGTTAGCTATCAAAAGGTGTGCAGAAAAGGGACTTTTAGTTTCTACATAATGGAAACACACCTATGAAGTGTTGAAACTATTCAATTGTTACGTCCAGACTCGAGGAAGGATGAGTCGACGGAAGGGCGCAATAACTATTTTTTATTATCCCGAAGTTAAACGTCTCGTGGCGTTTGGAATCGGGTCGAACGAACTGACAGGTCTGAAAAGCAGGTAAACGACTGAGTCGCTATTACGCTGGTTATTCAGACGTTCGTTCGGTGGTCCCTTTTCGGTAAGAGAATTTAATCTCTTTTACGCGGGATGGGACCAAGTGCGATCTTTCGACTAGGAATGAGTGGAGGTTTAATAAAGAGTAATTCTTTTATTTAAATTAACAAAGTATGAATTTATTCATATTTTAAAATAAATGATAGATGCACATGATTATATAAAAATAAAAATAAAATATTGTTGATTATAATTTCTCGGTGAGTGTACATGTGTGTGTGTGTATGTGTTTTATTTCGCGGATGTTACATTAATACGGAGGACATTAGTCAGAATGTAATTGATATATTTCACAGATTCTTGTACACTTTCACTTAGTCGCGATTATAATAGTCGCACGGAAAAAAAAATTTCGCTGTCATAGCTAAACATGATTTGCTAAAACTGCGTTTGCTGTCGTGACTATAAATTTCTAAACTACAGCGAAGAGGTTTACTGTTGTACCTAATACATAAGTAAAATAGCAAAATATGCATGTCTGTTAGGATCATATCGTACAGCACATAAAAGTAGTTATCGGAACTAACCGATATGTCAGAGGTATAACATCGTTTCGTTAAGCCGCGCACAATTGGCGCGAGCAGAACTGCGCATGCGCAGCAGTGAGTGAGTTAGTAAGTGAGTGAGTGAAATAGAGGAAAGACAAAAGCTGATGCAATGACGATGTACTTACCTCGTCATGAAATGACATGTTAGTCTATTAGTGCAATGCTTGTGTCGCGTACTTTCAATCCACAGTTTTGATATGGCTACGAGTGTGGCAATACACCTGCTGACTGCTTGGGGATTTAGCGAAGAAGTAATAGGACATTTTATAGGTATGTAAAATTATATTATATATGTATCTAATGTTATGTAAATCGATAGCAGCGAGCCACATGGATCTATATATCGCGGAAAATTATATTGAAATGTTATTTTTCCGGTAACGAATAGAGAACTAGACAGATATAGGATAATATTCAGTGATGCCAGAATTGAGACACAAGCAGTAAATCGCATGACTTCAGGAGGTATTGTGCATGTACCTGGCTTGCACATATATACAATACCCCTTAAAGTCATGCGGTTTACTGCTCATGTTTCAATTCTGGCATCACTGAATATATGCAATATGCTTCTCATTTGTAGCTCAAGAAATAGAAGTCGATCAATTTAAATATTTAACAGAAGAAGATCTTAAAACTTTAATACCGAATATTGGACCCCGACGAAAATTTCAAAACAATGTAAAAGAACATTTAAATGAGGTATTCATTGTTCTTTTCATCATGGTTTATTATTCTGTCAGCTTTTTTTCAGGATTGTAACTGATCTGTCTTGGTATTAATATTTCAGATTGCACAACAATCCATAGAAAATGTTGATCCAAATAATCAACAGCCACAAGCCACACAAGATTTGGATTATACAAACATATCAATAAAAAGGCAAAAAAGAGATATAAAGCATGATGAAGACAACGAGTTAAATAAAAGCAATAATATAAGCAATATTACGGAAAACATCTTTCCGACTTCATTATCTGCATCTTCTACATCTGCAAGTACAGGATATGATGGTAAACATTTAAAGAATATTATTAATCTTTGTTCATTTTCATTAATTTACACAAATTTAATAAATATAATAAAATTAATGTAATCCATATTTATTCATTTGAAAACAGAAAACTAACTTTTGTTCTATTTTCATATTGGCTTTATTAATTTGCTGATAATTTATTCTTCTTTCAGTTATATTCTTAACAAGTAATGCCACATCTGCAACAGAAATAAAGCAATATGCAGCTACTGATAATAAATATGTAAGATATGATTCGTTTTCCAAAATATTGTAATATGTAGTAAATATGATTAATATTAGATATTATATTAATTCTGTTTATTATTGCAGAATCTGAAATCTATATTTAAAAGATCTGAGGACGGTCAGTTGCTGCTAAGTTTATATCAAAATGAAGGAAGATTGAATAATGATCAACGAAATAAATTAGCAAAAATAATAGTTAGTAATGAGCTGTCGCCTAATATAAGCAACACAATATGCAGCGAAAGGGCATCTTTTCTGAGTGATCATGTGGTACAATTATTTCCTACTGAAGATAAGGTAAGTTTATATTTCTTTTGTTTCTTTACTAAAATTTTTATCAATGATTTCTTCAATCCAGGATGAAAATAAAAATTGCAAAGAAATACAAGTTTCTTATTGGTCTTGTTTTTATAAATTATTATATATACGTATATTATGATCGGTTAAAATTACATCATTTGCAATCATTTTAATTATTTCATGTTACAGAGTGTTTAGTATATTAAGAATAAGAAAGGCGAATCATAAGGTAGAGGAAAAATTCTGACAAAATACTATTGTACACGACGAAAACTTATTAAAGCTGGTTTGTTGAATGTGAAAACTACTGCAGACTTTGCTCATGTTCAGACTGATAGTAAGTTTATTTTAAATCATTTACAATCTTGTGAGAAACGTAATACTTAAGGCTCCTATCTTTACTCAATATAGCCATATTGGATTATGATGTCAGAAACGAGGATTCATGTAAATATTTTTTATACGTTATACGTTAAAAAAATAATTTTTCCCACATGCTACCATCCGCGTTCGATCATATAGGCTGGTAAGATGTACTGAAAACTCTTCCCTAGTTTGTGGCTTAATAACTAGCTTGTAATTCAATTTAATAAACTGTTATTATAAAATAAACTTGCTTAAGATCTAATATGGTTGTGTGTGAATGTGTGTATGTGGATGAAAATTGTGTTCTCGCGGGTGTTACAAAAAATACGGTGGTCATCAACCAGAATTAGACGGGGAGACTAAAATTTAAATTGCGGTTGGAAATTTACAATAAATAGTTGTAGAAAAATTACATGAAATAAAAGTGTGAGTAGAATGATGAGGATAGAAAAATTATTAATTTGCGGACGCTCGAGCCAATTCCTTCTTAAGCCGCCTACTAGGAGTCAAGAGTCGCTTTGTAAAATTCAGGTAACTCGTGACGACCGTCAGCAAGTCGAGAGTCACACTGTAAAATACAGGTAACTCGTGACGATTAATGGCAAGTCGGGAGTCACACTGTAAAATACAGGTAACCCGTGGTGTCTGGTAGGAAGTCGGAAGACACACAGTAAAGTTCAGATAACTCGTGACGACTGTCAGCAAGTCAGGAGTCACACTGTAAAATACAGGTAACAAACAAAAAGGGAAGGATAAAAATTGAAATTGTTCAACCCACTTACTACTTGAGAATGCGTTGATACTTGTAGCGACTAAGTGTGGTTCGGCTCCAGCTGTCGTGGCTGATCAGAATGGGCTCGGGAACCCGGCTTATTGTGTTGCTGGATTAACACGGCTTGTTGGCACTTAACATTTACGTATCACTAAGTCTTTCACTTTTATTTGAACTCACTCTCTGCACCATTTAGAGTCGCGGGAAAACTTAATCTCCGAGCTGACTACTAGCTAAGTAGTGAGTCGGTTGAAGAACGAAAACGGAATGGCATATCCTCGAGTCTTAGCGTCTCCCCACGTACCCTCTCCATTAGGCAATCAGAATTCTTTTTTAACAAATCAAATCTTTACTATTTGCCCCTCTCATGAGTAGGAGGTGCTACCCTTCCAGAAGAAGGTCCAAAAATTGCGCCTATTGGTGTAGGCTATTGTTTTTAGAAGTTAAATCCAGCCTACTGGAGAGTCCGTTATGATCGGCTAAGTTGACATTTTTATTATTTCCGCTGAAATTTATCTCAAACAGATAACACAAGAGGGTGGTCTGGCAGGCGAGCACGCGGTGTCAAGTATCGCGAGTTCTGCTTACGGATTTTGGTTTCATCCGTAAACCATCATCCGTGTCCCTCTCCTTGTTCTTTGTTTTAAACCCTTAAGCCCGTCGCGCGGACCTTAAAGTTGAATATTTCATTTATCTGTTTGTTTTCCGTACGCACATGGTCTAGATTTCTAGCGTTCGAGGGTCTCTTATCTTTGTTTAGAATTTTCAAACCTTTGACGTGAGTCATGTAACATATAATATAATTAAGTATAATATATATAATTAAATATACAATTTTATGATAAGCCTTATTTTATGTGAACCTATTATAACCATGTTTCTTAAAAAAAGAAAATTAAACATATAATTTCTTTATACGTATATATATTAGGTGTACAACTTTGCTTCCTCCGTTTTTTTTCCGAAATTCGAGGCTTTATTGTAAAAAACTGGTTATACATTTGATTCAAAGTATTGTCCATCGCTGGCCACTACTTTCTCCCATCTTTCGGGCAGCGTATGAATCCCGCGTTGAAAAAACTGGTCATCTTTTGAAGCGAGCCACGAATCGATCCAATTTCTTACTTCTTCATAAGACCGGAAGTGCTGGTCAACTAGGTCGTGTGCCATTGATCGAAACAAGTGACAGTTAGAGGGAGCAGTGTCTGGAGAATACGGCGGGTGGGGTAGGACTTCCCATTTCAACGTTTCCAAGTATGTCTTGACCACTTTCACAATATGGGGTCGAGCATTGTCATGCTGCAAAATCACTTTATCGTGTCTCTCGTTGTATTGCGGCCGTTTGTCTTTTAATGCTCGGCTCAAACGCATTAATTGCGTTCGATAACGATCGCCTGTGATTGTTTCAGTCGGTTTTAACAGCTCATAATACACTATGCCGAGCTGGTCCCACCAAATACAGAGCATGACCTTGGAGCCGTGAATATTCGGTTTGGCCGTCGACGTGGAAACATGGCCGGGATATCCCCATGATTTTCTGCGCTTGGGGTTATCGTAATGAACCCGGTTTTCGTCCCCAGTCACAATGCGATGCAGAAATCTCTTCCGTCTTTGGCTTTCAAGTAACTGTTCACAAACAAACAAACGCCGTTCAACATCTCTCGGTTTC